ATAGATTTTAAAAGATTTAGTTTTACTTTGTGTGATTATTTTCATTTCCAAAGTCAAACTACAAAGATATTATTTAGAGAAAGCTAGTGTCTATCCCTGTTCCCTCTAACCTATTCTTTCCTGCCCTGTGTAACTTTTTAAATATTTTGGTTTACTTTTCTGTTGTTTACTCTTTTCTAAAGTATTAGCATACATGTAAGTATACTGAATTCAATTTCCTCATATTTTACGGAGGATTTTTGTACCTATGCTCGAGTGATATTGTTCTGTAGTTTTCCTTTCTTGTGATGTCTTTATCCGGTTCTGGTATTAGGATAATGCTGGTCTCAGAGAATGAGTTAGGAAGTGTTGTTCCCTCTGCTTCTATTAATATTTTCTGAAAGAGATTGTAAAGAATTGCTATTGTTCTTTCTCAAATTTTTTTTCACAAGGAGAATTCACCAGGGAACTATCTCAGCCAGTTGCTTTCTTTTTTAGGAGGTTTTCACTATTTTTTGTTATCTTTCAAGAGATTTTTGTTTTCAACTTTACTGAGATATAATTGACATATAAAATTAGAAAACATTTAAAGTGTACATCATGATGAATTGACATATTGTGTACATTGTGAAAGGATTCCTCCCACCTAGTTTAACCCATCTCACATATTTATTATATTTTAATTATATATTAAGAACATATAATATTAACTATTATAATTATTAATTTACTTTCTCTAGAGATAGCTCTATGCAAATCTTTTATTTTCCTATGTGTAAGGGTTTTTTTTCCCTGTGTAAATTTTGTTACTTTGTGTCATTTGAGGAATTGGTCCATTTCATATAGTTATCAGACTGTGAGCATACAACTGTTCATAATATTTATTATCCTTTTACTGTCCATGGGCTCAGTAATGATGATTCCTCTTTATTTCTGATATTAATGATTTGTGTCTTCTCTCTTTTTTTAGTTAGCCTGGCTAGATGCTGATCAATTTTATTGATCGTTTCATAGAACCAGCTTTTGGTTTCATTGCTTTTCTCTGTTGAATTTGTGTTTGACATTTTATTGATTTCCACTCCAGTTTTTGTTATTTAACTTCCTCTACTTGTTTTAGGCTTATATTACTCTTGTTTCTCTAGTACACTAAAGCAAAAATTTAGATAATTGATATTTAGATCTTTCTTCTTTTCTAATATATGCATTTAATGCCATAAGCTTCATTCTAAGTATTGCTTCCACTGAATCACACAGATTTTAACAAGTTATATTTTCCTTTTCATTTAGATCAGAGTATTTTAATATTTCTCAAGAGGTTTCCTCAACCCATGTTGTTATATGAAAGTATGTTGGTTAATCTTCAGATATTTGGGAATGTTCCAGTTATCATTCTGTCATTGATATCTCTAGTTTAATTCCAATGTGATTCAAGAGCAAATGTGTATTATTTTAAATTTGTTAAGGTCTGTTTTATGGCCCAAAATGTGGTCTGTCACAGTGGATGTTCCATGTGTACTTGATAACATGTATTCTGCTCTTGTTGGATACAACATTCTGTAATCTATAAATGTTTTATCATCTATAGAAGTATTCCATAATTCAATCCGGTTGATTGATGGTGCTGCTCAGTTCAACTACATCCTTACTGATTTTCTGCCTGCTTGATTTGTCAGTTACTGATTAAAAGATGTTAAAGTCTTCCTCAAACAGGGCATTTGTTTATTTCTCTTCACAGTTTAAAATACTGTTGCATTGTTTTGCTGCTTCCCACATCAGTTTTTAAAAGTCTATTGCCCTTCCAATTCTTTTGCCTTTGTAAGTTATTCAATCTTTCTGCCTAAAGATCTTGGAAAAAATTTTTTTTAAATCTTTGAAATCTGTTTTGTTAGGATGTGTCTCAAAGTTGATCATTCTGGGTTAATTGCCCAAGGTTCCCAGTGGGCCCTTTGAATGTGCAGATTTTTTTTTTTCTTGTAAAGTTTTCTTATAGTCTTAAATACCAGTTCTGGTTCTCCTGGTGGCTCAGACAGTAAAGAATCTGCCTGCAGTGCAGGAGACCCAGGTTTGATCTCTGAGTTGGGAAGATCCCTTGGAGAAGGGAATGGCAACCTACCCCAGTGCTCTTGCCTGGAGAAACCCAGGAACAGAGGAGCCTGGCAGGCTACAGTCCAGGGGGTGGTAAAGAGTCAGACACAACTGAGCGACTAACACTTTCTGGTTCATTGTTTAGTTTTTCTCCAGGAACTCCAATAATACAAATGTGTTTCCTTTTTGACTGTCTTCTGTTTCCATTACTTTCTTCTGACCCCTTCTAGGTATTTATCTCATTTTCATTCTCTTGTTTTTCTTTCTTCAATGCCACTTATTATATTTTTATTTGAGTCTGTTCTCCTGCAATCATCTTATAATGTAATCTTTAGTTCTAGTTAATTTGTCTGTTTCTTCCATTTCTGAGTTTGATCTTGGGTGGCCTCCACTTGCAGTGGCTTGAAGCAGGGTTTCAGTTCCCGGTCAGAGATTGAGGTCAGGCCATGTCAGCGAGAGCTGAATCCTAGCCACGCAATCAGTGGTCAGTGACAAGGCCCTGGCCCTTTAGCTTTGCAGAAATGGATTCCCGCAAAAACAGAAAGTCGTGAAACAAGCGAAGTGTTTAGTAAGAGGAAATGAGAATGGTACGTGTGCACAGACACACAGGTGGGCTCAGAGATAGTCGCACCTGCTGGTAGTTTGAATCACATTTATGGGGCATTTCTTCTGGGTTTCTTTTGATTGATCATTTTGATTTGTGTGGTTCTGAGCCCGTTTGTGGTATATCTCATGATTCTTCCTTGTGTGAGATGTGATCCTCCCTCACATCTCAGCCAAGGTGGATTCCAGTGGGTAGCCTGGAAGGTAGCCTTGGCATCACTCCCCTTTTGATCTCCAAGGAGCTTTCTAGTCAGGAAGGTCCCTTTGACTTCAAGAATGAGAAATATGTGATCTCTTTTATATTTTATCTGGGCAGGACCCATCCAGCCTTCTCTCTCAATTATCCTATTGATCTTTTGGAGTTTCTGTCCTCACGGCATGAACTCCAGCTGCTTACCTCCTGCCTCAAGTTCAATCAACTCTCTTTTCATTTCGTCTTGGGTTTTTTAATTTCTCAGGTGACTTTGCATGCCTTCAAATGCTTGTTAGTTCTGAGTGTTATATTACAGCTTTCTTTTGCTTCGGTGCTGTTTTTGTTCAGGAATGTGTGTGAATTGGGCTTCATAGATATGTCATGAAATTCATTTTCTCATATTTTGCAATAACTCTGTATGAGCCTGTTAATCTTTTTCTTGTTCTGTCCTGTGGGGCTGGGTGTTTTTTAAGAGCCCTAGTTTAGTGCGCCCTCTTCTGTCAACACTGAAAAGTCCAGACACTTCGAAGGATTTGTTTGTTTTGAGTGGGGGAGGAGCGTGGGTCGTCTGACCTTGTTCTTTTGTCCTGCGGAACTTGTGAAATTTCTCCATTTGTTTCCCCTTTTATACTCAAATGCCAAAGTACAATCCCTTCCCTTACACCTCTTTGCTCCCCAGAACTGACGTGTTTCAAAGGTCATATTTCAAAAATCCTATAGACAACTTCCAGTCTCTTCCCCTAACCTACTCCAGACACTCGTTAACATTTGCAGACTTGGCTTCTGTTGCCTGGAACTGAACACTTACTGGTTTGCCCAGATCACATAGCAAGTTACTGCAGCAGCTCCAGCTTTGGACAGACCTCCTCCTGACCAGCTCTGCAACAGCCCTACTCGTCCTTCTTGAGCCCTTCTTTCCTTCCCTCGCCCACCCCAAACAGGAGGGGAAGATTGGGTGCCCAAGAGGCAGGGGCCAAAGAGCCCCTTTCCCCAGAGCAGTAAGGCCCAAGCCTCTGGCCATTCTCCACCCAGCACTCACCACTGCTGCTCCTGCAGCCTCTGGGGGACATCCAGGGCAGGGAGGGGTGGGGACGCGGCCCTGTGGTAATGGAAACCTGCTCCACGATGACAAAACATGATTACCAACCAGCTGGGTGACTGTAGGAAAATCACTCAACCCCTCTGGCCTACAGATTTCCTCATCTGTGGGGCCCTGCTGAGCTGTTGCAAAGATGAAGTGAGGCAATGTGTGAGGAAAACAGCTTGGTGACTAGTAGCAGACTTGGCCTCAATACATCTGAACCCTGTTATCTTGCATGTTTGGAAAAAGGACTGGGGGAACTGTCTCCTTACCTGGCAAGATTCTTAGGTCCACAGAGTGGGGTTATCCCTGGGTCGGGAATTTCCCCTGGAGGAGGACATGGCAACCCACTCCAGTATTCTTGCCTGGAGAATCCCATGGACAGAGGAGCCTGGAAGGCTGCAGTGAGGAAAAGTCATCTTAATTTCAGCCCAGATCATAGGAGGTCCGTTCCATCAGCTCCCAAACGTTACTAGCAGATCCTTCCAAGTTGGCTCCAATCAACACAGCCTAGGAATCCCCTTCCCTAGGGCAGGGACCACCAGGCTGCTGCAGCTTCCTCTCACTGCTTCTCCCATTGGTCCACTATCCTAGCTAAACTAAACTCTGGATGCAGGGACCTTGCAAAGCTCTGGAGTTGAAAAGCACTGGCTCATAGGTCAGGTCCAAACCCAGCTTCATTTCCATTCCTAACTTGCTGGGTGGTTTGGGGCAAGGCTTATCTGAGAAGCAAAGATGTGGCTCTTTTTTCTTCTACCTCCTGGGCAGGGATTCTAGAGAATGCTAGGCATATCTGGGCAGGAAGGAAGTTTGATGCCCTGCAGTCTGGGGGTTCTATAGCTTGGAAGCTCTCCTAGAGCCTCTGATCCCCATCCCAGTTGCCTGCCCCCCAACCAGGGCCCAAAAGGAAACAAACCAGTCAGTGCTGTTAGCAAATGTCATTTTTTGTGTGTTTTAAAGAAAGGAGCCACAGTGCTGTGTCCTGGTTCTCAGCAGCCCTTCCAGGGCAAGAGCCTGCAAAGGCCACGGTCCTGTTCGCCCCCAGCCTGGCTCCGGGGCTCAGCCAGCCGCTGACAGCCCACGGAGGTAGTCCCCCGCCAGGGGCAGCACGGCCCAGTCGTCAGTCCGCAGGGCCACAGGCACTCCATCCGCCTGGGGTGCCTCCAGCCGCAGCAGCAACCGCGAGTCTGGGGGCAGACGGATGGCTACAAGGTAGCTGACGGGGGGTTGGGCCACCACCACAAAGGGCTCCAGGTGGCGGGACACCAAGGCCTCCAGCCCCTCTGGCCCGAGAGGGCACCACAAGCGACTCTCAGTACCCTTCGGCAAGCAGGAGTCCCAGAGCTCCTCAAAGAAGTCCAGCTGGGCCCCCTCAGGGGGCTGGGGGAAAGGCAGGAAGAGGTCAGCGAAGGTCACAAGCAGGGGTGGCAGGTGAGCGTGGCACGTGAGGCCGCTGGGTGTGCTGTACAGGGCACGCACGGCCAGCCTCGCGGGAGCCGGGCGTCGAGGCTGCAGAGGCAGGAGCAGAGGGCGGGTGGGGCGGCCGGGGCACAGGTAGGGCACGTGGACAGCCCTCAAGGGTGCATAGAGCTGTTTTTCCACACGAAAGCGCAGCTCCAGAGAATACACTGGCTCTAGCACCTCCACCTGGAGCTGGAGCACCGGGACTGGGCCCTCGGTTCTGCGGGGACCCACGCTTAGCCGAACCGGGGCCGGAGCCTCCTGCACCATCAGCGCCGCAGCAAAGCCCTGGTTCTCGGCCACCAGCGAGGAGGCCAGTGCAGGTGCAGCAAGGGAGGGGCCCAGGGCCACCCCCAGCTTGGGGCCTGCTAGGTGGGCCAGGAGAATGTAGTAGAGGCGTGCGTGGTCCTGCCCATCAGGGTCCTCCAGCTGCCTGGCCAGCGCCTGTAGCAAGTCCACCAGGCCTTCTCTAACGCCTGCCCGCAGCAGGGCCCGGCAGACCCGCAGCAGGGCCTGTTGGAGGCCCCAGTCTGTGCAGTGGGTGGCTGCAGCCCACAGAAAGTTAAGCGTGGCACTCTGGGCATCCCCATCTGCCACCCTGGCCAGCATCAGCAGGTGCCAACGGAGGGCCTCCTCTCTGCCCGGCCTGGACACCACCTCCTGCCGCAAGGCCACCCTCAAGGGTTCCTGCAGCTCAGGGCCCACTCGATCCAAGAGATCTACAAAATGGGGAGCCAGCGCAGGCCGGATTCGGTACAACTGGGCCAGTCCCTGGGTCAAAGGTGTCAGTACCACAGGTTGCCCAGCCAGGCAGTGAGCAACTAGGTATGAGGCCTGGAAGCAGAGAGTAGCCAAGGCCCGGGGGCCACTGTCCAGGGCCGCCCTCTGCCGCAGGCCAGCCAGGAGCTCCTCCAGATAGTGCCGGGGACTCTGATCCTGGCCCTTTTCCTCCTTTTCTTCCTCTTCCATGCAGAGAAGACACAGCAGGTGCAGGCGGGCCAGGAGGGCCATCGGCTCATGCAGGAGGCTGGGCAGGAGGCCACGGCAAAGCTGGGACCCCAGCAACAGTGGGGCGGCCTCCTCACCTGTGGGTCCCAGCGGCCAGTTTTCAGGAAAGTTCAAGAGACAGTGCAGGTAGAAGAGATGGGTGGGCAGGGGCAGGGCTGGGTGCTGAGCAGCCAAGGTGAGCCGGCGAAGCAGCAAGGCCTCATCCTGGGCCGTGAACAGGGCCTCGCCAAAGGCCGCCTTCAGAGCCAGCATGGCGTGCAGCAGCGTCAGCTGGGCTGTGCCCAGCAGCCGTACCAGTTGCGGCTTGAAGAGTACTGGTGGCTGTCCCCGAAGACCCCGCAGGGCCCAGCCCAGGAGCCACAGAAGCTGGGCCTGGGCCACAGGAGTGAGCAAGTAGGAGGCGTCCAGAAGCTGGGCCACAGTGGCCCGCAGCTGCCGGGCCTCCTCAGGACTGAGCTCCAGCGCCGCAAGGCCACACTCGCCCTCCTCAGCCGCCGGCCAACTGGGTGCCTGGGGCTGAAGGTGGACATCACCCTCCTCAGCTAGTGTCCAGTTCCAGGGTCCACCCTCCATGGAAGAGTCCCCAGCCGTAAGCAGGCCCTGCAGGCCGGCCCCGGCCCTGGCTTGTATCACCAAGGCGTTTCGCAGAGCAAGTGCCAGCAGCAGGCTGAGGGGCTGGACCGGGCCCTCGCGTCCCAGCAGGGCCCGCAGGAGCCCCAGGCAGCCCCCCAGCAGCCCCGGCCGGCAGCTCTCCAGTTCCCGCAGGCATTCCCACGCTGTGGCCTGCAGGGGGCGCTGTTCCGAGGCAGGGCCGAAGCTTCGCCCCAGATCGCGACCCGAGGCCAAGCCAAGCAACAGGGGCAGGAGCCGGCGGGAGGCTCCCGAGGCGGGGCTCAGCGCACCTCCTGCCGCCAAGGCTGTGGTGGCCGCCAGCAGCAGGGGCCGCCGCAGAGCTGAGGGCCGCGGGGGTAGGAGGACCAGAGTGTCCAACAGAGACGTGGCGGCTGCTTCGGCTGCAGGGGCGTCCGGCCACAGCTGGGCTGGGTACTCCAAGCACAGAGCCAGCAGGGCAACCTGGAGATGGGGGAGGGCGTGGGGTGGGCATCACGAAGTTGAGGGTCAGGACACGGTAGGCTAACCACCTGGGGCCAGGGCTCGGGCAGGTGGGCCTACCTTCATGGGCTCGCTCAGCTTCTCACTCCTCAAGTCGCTCAGCAGGTCACGACCCAGATCCTCACCCTCGGGACCTGCCATGAAGGCGGATGGGCTGGCCCGGAAGGTGCCCAGGCGCTGGGCCCAGGTTTCCCGGCCGAGGGGGCCCATGGTCGGGCACACAGATCCCTGCAGGGAGAGGCAAGGGAGGGTCAGAAGTGCGGCCCACGGACGCGCAGGAGCCCCAGGGCCGCTAGAGGGCGCGCGAGCCGCTGCGCGGACCCCAAAGGGGCCGCCCTCGGCCGCGCGCAGACACCAGCGGGGACCCCGCACCTGGGTCCCGAGATGAAACCCAGAGGCTTCGGGGTGACGCTGGGGCGGGCCGCCAGGGTCCCCGCGGGGCAACAGCGCGGGGAGCAAGGGCGGGGGCGCCGGGCGGGCCGCTGGCGCGGGGTGCGTGCAGAGAGCTCATTAGGCCGCCTGCCCGCAACCGGCACCGAAACCACAGCACCGCCCCGGCCCCCGGCGCCCGCGGTAACGGGCCGGCCCTCTCACCCTTCCTGACTCAGCGGTCGCTGGCGCTGGGGCCGGCCGACTCCTTCCGGGCTGGCGGCGCGGGGCGGGGCGCACGGCGCGTGGGCGACCGAGACGGGGAGGGGCCCGCGCGGGGGCGGGGCCGTAACGGGGCCACCACCTCCCCCGCCCTCCCGGCCGGCAGGTGCCGACTCGCCGGTTTCGCTGGGGCTGAGTAACTGTCCCCCTCTGCGCAGGCCCCCCTTCCCCGAAACCGCCGCAGGCCCAGGCAGAGGCGGTGGAGTTGGGTGGGCCCGGGCTCCCGGTGCCCGGGTCCCCGTGGGCGCTCCGACTGCAATCTCAGGGCGCTCGGGTGGCCAGCGGCCGGGGGCCCACGCGCCTGCCGGGATGCCAAGAATGGCAACCCGCGCGCACCGCGCCGGCACCCGGGCGCAGAGCACCCTAGTCCAGCGCCCGCAGACCCGGGGAGTGAAGTGGATCACGAGTACTTGGGGCTCTCGGTGTGGCCGCTGGGGGGTGTGCGAGGTGCAGTCCCGGGCGGCCGCGGGCCTGGCGGAACCGGTCGGGCAGGCGCCGCAGGACTTGGCTTCGCTTCCCCGACGCCAGCCCCGGGCCCCCCACCCGCTCGGCTTGGGGGCGCGGAGCCGGCGCCGGGAACGAGGCAGGCGGAAGCTGTTGACCTTTGCCGGAGGCCGTGCCGACGGTCGGCTAGGGTAAAGCTGGCGGGGCCAAGTCACCAGCTGCAATGAAGCCGGAAGACAACGGGATGCAGACGTGCGGACCGGCAGGGCCCGGCGGGTCACGGGGCTCCTAGGACGCTTAGCACGGACCGGGAAACTGAGGCCTTGCCGCCGCAGATCTGGGGTCAAGCAGTGCCCGAGCCCAGTACCTTGACTTCCAGAGGGCTGGACCAGGGCTCTTTGGGGGTACTCAGAAGGCTGAGCCTGGGGCTCACCTAGCAGCCTCTCCTGGGTCTGGGGCCCAGGCTACAGACGACCCACTGACCGCCGGTTTCCAGGGCAGAGAACCGCAGGTGTCCAGACCCCACACCCACAGCCCACCGGTCTGAGTAACGCTCCAGGCTCTAATTAGCCTGCTTTGAAGATGAAACAGGCCCGAGACCCCATGCTAGCCGCTGCCAACTGGTTTCTCTCCTTTCCCCAGGCTTGGCAGGCCCCTCCCTACTCCCATCCCCGCTGCCCTCCAGATGAGAGGTGGTAGGGAGTGGTGGGGTAGAGAGAGCTGGAGAAGAGGCTTTCTGGGTGCCCAGGGTGCCAGGCGGATCCACCCCAAGGGACAAGTCCAGCTGGAAAACCCAGTCCCAGCTCCTCTAGGCCCCGGCTCCACAGTTGACTCACAGGCGGCAGCCCCAAACTACTTCCCTCTAGGTGCCTCAGTTTCCCCACCTATAAAATGGGAGTGATGACTCCTGCCGGGGAGGCTGCAGGGTGGGGCTGCTGGCTAATTAAGTCTAAGATGAAAGAGGCCAGGATGACAGCAGCCCTGGGAGGGAAGGCAGCTTGGAGGTAACAAGGAGCCTGTCTGGTTTCCCTGTCTGAGGCCCAGAGGGTGCTGATAACTGCACATCCCCAGCCCTCACCACTTACAGGGAGGGAAGAATGATTATTAAGCCCCTTTTTACAGTGGAGGAGCCAGGCTTCAAAGGGTCAGGAAATACTATGCTGGCTCTGGCCCCCGCTCGGCCTCTGACAGCTGCCAGTCTTTCAGAGCCTTGGCTCCTTGGAGCCCAGGGTCTGGAGGGAGGGAGTTCCTGGTGCTGTGCTTCTGGATGCTGTGGTGGGAGCATCCACATGGATTCATGGAGGTTCACAGCGCCCCGAGGGACCCGAGGATGGGGTCCATTCACAGAGAAGGAAAGGGAGGCCCAGCCAGGTGTAGTCACTTGCTCAGTCACAGAGCTCCTAAAATGTGGAGTCCACCCTTCAAGCAACAGCCCCTTGCTACCCTTGACTTGGCCTGCCACTCAGGGCAGCTACTCTCTGCCTTCACCTGCCTGCCCAGGTGTCTGCTCCCATAGGAGGGGGCTGCTGGTACTGCCCCTGGCACAGGCCAGGCGTTACACTGAGCTCAGTCCACCAGCACTGAATCTGCAGTCAGCAAGCCCACCCCTAAGAGTGACCTCCCAGCCCAGAGGCCCCGGGTGTGGGCTGCAGCAGGGAACTCCCTACTCCATCCCCCCAGCTCATTTCTTCTCTTTCTGCTAAGTTTCCATCCTCCTCAGGGCAGCCCTGTTCTGGGGAGACATGAGACACAAGGCTTAAAATAGGGAAAGTCTGTTTCCAGAGGGGTCCTGAGTCACGGTTTTCTCATCTGTGAAATGGGAGATAACCCATCCTCACAGCACTGGCACTAGGGATACAGAGGTGCTTTAAAAAGAGCTCATCAGGGAGGTTCAAAATGGAGGGGATATGTGTATACCTATGGCTGATTCATGCTGAGGTTTGACAGAAAACAAAATTCTGTAAAGCAATTATCCTTCAGTTAAAAAATAAATTAAAAAAAAAAACTACTTATGTAAAGAAAGAGCACATCAATTTGCAAATCCATAGAAAGCAGAGCCATGGGTACCAGGGGCTGGGGCGTAGGAGGAATGGACAGTGGCTGCTAACAGGTAGAGGGTTTCTTCAGGGGGCGATGAAAGTGTTTCTGAAGATAGTGGTGACGGCTGCACGGCTCTGTGCAGATACTAAAACCCACTGAATTGGGAATTCCCTGCTGGTCCAGTGGTAGGTCTTCGTGCTCTCATTACTGAAGGTGCAGGTTCAATCCCTGCTGGGGGAACTAAGGTCCTATAAGCATGGCCAAAAACAAAACAAAACCCCACTCACTGACTTGTACACTTCAAAAGGGTGAATTTTATGGGTATGTGAACTATATCTAAATAAAGCTACTAAAAATGACATTCAAAGAGGTCCTTCATGTACAGAGTTTACACTGAGGAATAATGGAACAGACAAGACAAATCAAAATTTCATGGAAAGAGATGCTGCAAAAAAGAATAATAAAATAAGGTAATAGGACAGAAGTGGCTGGCGGGACAAGGATTTAGCTGGGGCACTCAGAGAGGCCTCTTAGAAGAGGGCATGTCTGGCTGAAACCTGAGTGAGGAGAGACAGCCAGTCATCAAGTGGGGAAATGCCTCGGGGGAGAAGGAGCAGCGGAAGAGAGGCCTGAGCTAGGAACCGGCTTTGGCCAGTTCAGTGGACAGAGAGCCAACAGCGTGGTGGGCACACCACCACCAGCGGTCAGGACACCAGCGGGCCAGAGCTCGCTGGGCCCCAGGGACTCCATTCGGCTCCCAAGGATCCGAGTGGGACACACGGAGAGGGAGGTGCAGGCAGACGCCAGGCGCCCTGGGAACCGACAGGACGAAACTCAGCAAGCGATGGCGGCATCAGTGTCGCCCACCGCACGTCACAGATTGCCAGGGGCTCTGCAGCGCCCACGGGGCTCCAGCCAAAAAAGGCCACTATTTGAGCCAGGCAGAGGCCGCAGCAGCCCGGGCACCAGCAGCCTGCTCTAAGGCTGAGTCCATTCTCAAGGGCTGCTAGTCTTCCCGGCCAAGGCGAATCAGAAGCATCTCTTGACAGCAGAGTTGGAACTCGGAGCCCTCCGTACAGACGTGGCTGAGTCCAAGTCCCTGGCTAGGGCAGCCCGGCTCCAGGACTGGTGTTCTGCTTGTCCCCTCAGCACAGCTCTTCCATCTTCAGCTGTCAGGCTTCTAAGCCTGCCCCACCTCACCCCCTCCCAGCTCCTCCCAGAAGCCTTCTTGAGAACAGGAAGGGGTTAAAACTTCTCCATCCGACTTCTGCCCTGGCTCTCCCCAGAGTTGCTCAGGACAGAAACCAAGCACTGAAGGTGGCTGCCAGCCACCAGTCTTTGGGGAGCATGGTCCTTACTTGCCTGTTGGGGTTCTGTCTCCTCACACCCCTGTCCACTGTATCAAAGAGACAGGTCGGCTGAGGGCACTTGGAATCAGCACTCGTGACCCAGGCCACCATCCCCTCCTGCTTGGACCATGACAGTAGCTTCCTCGCTGATCTCCCTGCTGCTCCCCTCACCTGTCGATGCACTCCCCTCTCCCCATCGCAGACCCCAAGGCTGCCCATCGCCCTGAACCTCACATGACATGGCAGACCTGCCTCTCCCAGCTCAGACCTTACACCCTCCCATCCCCTCACCATCCAGCCACCGTTCCGTTCATCACACACAGACATACACACAGACACACACCCGGGGCACACTCCTGTTTTGGGGCCATTGAGCCATCTGATCCATATACACTTCACGCTCTTCCCTGCTCTGCACAGCTGGCTCCTCCCTCTCATTCAGATCTCAGTGCCCCTTGCCTGTCACCTGAAATCAGTCCTGACTATTCACTGGAAGGACTGATGCTGAAGCTGAAGCTCCAATACTTTGGCCATCTGATTCAAAGAACTGGAAAAGACCCTGATGCCAGGAAAGACTGAAGACAGGAGAAGGGGCGACAGAGGAGGAGATGATTGGATGGCATCACCGACTCAATGGACATGAGTTTGAGCAAGCTCTGGGAATTGGTGATAGACAGGGAGGCCTGGTGTGCTGTAGTCTGTGGGGTCACAAAGAGTCAGACACGACTGAGTGACTGAACTGAACTGAGCTGCCTGTCACCATCCACCACTAACTGAATGTCCTGCAACACACTAATCATTTCCTTTGTCTTGCATCACAGAATACCCAGTGCTAGCATATAGCAGGTGTTCAATGAACATTTGTTGACTGAATTAAGGAAGGAGAAAATGATACTGAACTGGCGTTGTATGAACAGAGCAGAAGGTGCTTGCCCTTATGGAGCTCACAATTCAGTGTTTACCCAAGTTCACACATACTGTCTAGTTCTAGATGAACCAGAACCAGAGACCATGAATCAGAAGCCACACACTGACAGTCCATAGTTCAAATCTGCCCCACAAATGTATTTTATTTGACTCATTTATTACTATTTTTTAAGTGAAGTCAGTGTTTAAAAACTGGTAGGTTTCAAGGAATTCCCTGGAGGTTCAGTGGTTGGGACTCCAAGCTTTTGGTGTTGAGGGCCTGGGTTCGTTCCCTGATTGGGGAACTAAGATCCTGCAAGCCACACAGTGAAGCCATAAATAAGTAAAGATAAAAATTGGTAGATTCCACACGCAAATTTCGATTTCCAGTTCCCAAGTGGACAAAAGTGGCACCACTGGGTTTCTGAGCTTGAGTGACATGCTTGCCACTGGCACTCTAGTCACATTCTCCATGCCACCCCCAATTTCCGAGAGCTGCCTTTTGTCACTGAACTGACATTATAGTTTTCCTTATAATAATAAAAAAAATAAATTAGCTCTGCATTTATACCTCTATTAGAGCAAAAGTTGGAACATGAAAGACTGTGTCATGTGAGTCAAGAAACATAGGCTAGGGGCTTCCCTGGTGTCTCAGTGGTAAAGAATCTGCCTGCCAGTGGGACACAGGTTTGATCCATGATCCGGGAAGATCCCACATGCCGTGGAGCAACTTAGCCTGTGGGCTGCAACCACTGAAGCCCGAGCACCTAGAGCCCATGCTCCACAAGAAAAGCCACCACAATGAGAAGCCTGCCCCTGCAACTAGAGAAAAGCCCGAGCAGCAACAAAGACCCAGAAGAGCTAATAAATAAATCATTTTTTTAAAAAAAGAAACATACGCTATTCATCCATTCAATAAATACTCATTGACACCCACTATGTTCCAGGCGCCATTACAGATGCTGTAGATAGAGCGGTGGACAACACAGGCAAATCTCTCTCCTTCCTGGGGCCTCATTCTATACACTGGGTACACTGGAGAACTTTCTTTCCACAAGTGAAGACATCTGAGTTCCTCCCCCATGAGAAGGACTGCCCGTGTCCAGCGTTATCCATGAAGACTTCATCAGAGTTTCCACGAAGTCCCTGCTGTGTCCCAGCCCCCGTCAAGGTCTGGTACAACCAGGGTGCTCAATAAACATTTATCGGATGTTGGAGAGTCCAGGGTAAGAGTGGATGGCTAACAAGGTAAGTGTGGGCTGTGGGAGGCAGAGCCTTGAGAAAGGAAGGGGAAGGGGGCAAACATTAATGCCCCTGCCAGATCTCACACCATTTCATACACGGCTCCAGGAGGTAGACAATGGGATTCTCAGGTCACGGACAATACAGGCTGGAAAGGAAAGCTCCTCAGCCGGCCAGACTCCCGGGTTCCAGGAAGGTGTAGAAGAGGAGGCCCATCTGGCCCCTAAGTCCACCCTTTCCCCACCCACCCAGGGTGTGCTCCACAGAAGTCCTGTGGGGGGATGTTAAAGGCCTCTGGAACCTCCCTCTTGAAAAACTACCTTCTTCCACTACATGCCTGAAAGTCCACCATAGGCAGACTGCTCCTTTTCTGACTCCTGACTTTTGAACTGTGTGAATTCATTTATCAGATTCATTTCCTCCTAATCTGTTCTAGCAAACATTTAATATGTGAGAAAGGTGTGTGTGTGGCCGGGACTCTGAAATATTAGTTTATTTTACATGGGGGAAGCGGGGGAAGCTAAAAGAGAAAGGGGTTCCATCCCTGCCCTTACTAGTCAGCTGGTAAGAGAAACCGCGTGGCCCAAGCGTCACAGTCACTGGGCCTCACGGAGGCCACCAGGTGCTTTTGAGGAGGGCGGGGGCTCCCTCCAGGAGGTGAATGGCTGGAGTGAGGGGTCCCAGACTGAACCTGAGCTCAGGGTAGGACACAAGCTCTTTGCCTGCCGTGGTGCAGCCAGGCGAAGGAAGCTGGTTCTCCACCACCCGCTCCCCTCCAGTCTTGCTGCACCCGAAATCGGTCCATCTGGGACAAAGACGAGGGCTTTGGCGCACCCCAATGGCTAAGGCGCTGGGGTCTTTCGGGAAGGCGGCGGACTCAGAGCGGTTTAAAAGACCCTTCCTCCACGAAGCCTTCCTCACCTGCCCGGCCGAAAGGCGGACTCTCGGCGGCCCCGGGCCCGGCGGGTGCTCTCCGCTTTGTATTGCGGCCGGCGCGGCCTGGCCTGCGGGTCCACCGGCCTGCGCGCTCCTGCGGCCCCGCGTGCCATTCCGCACGGAGCCGGCGACCAGCCAATACCTCTGGGCTGAGCCACGAATTGCTCAGCCAGGCCTTTGAGACCCGGGGCCGCCTGGGCCCAGGCCCGGTTCAACAAGTGTGGGCCGGGCCGCCCAGTCTCGCCCGACGGCTTCGCGCCTCCCCAGGCGCCCGGGGCGCGCCGGGCCCCGTCGGGAGAGTTTCATTTCATCACCGGCAGAGCGTGCGAGCGCTGGATAACGTTGCCCCTTCCTCTCCCTCCCCTGCTCGTCGGCTCTCTCTCCGAAACTCCGGTTGGCGAACGCTAGCCCTCCCGCTGGGCGGCAACCGAGCCGGCCCGGCAGCCGGGTGCCCTGCGCCCGCCCCCGCCCGGCCACCCCGCCCAGGCCGCGAGGCCACCTCACCGGCAGCGGAATGGAAACCGGTTCGACAGGTAACAAATAGGTGGGTTGTCACCGTTATTTCCCAACGCATGCGCCGTCGCTCCCCGGGCCACTCCAAGCTAATTAGCTCCGATCACCCCCTCCCCGCCCCAGCCACCAACACACACCGCCGCGAGCCAATAAAGCGTGAACCCGTCCGGCCGGCTCGCACTTTAAGACTCCGTGAGCGGCCGCGAGGGACGCCAGTCGCGCCGGGAGACGCTTCCCCGCCGCCCGCGGCACCTGGCTGCAGGGGACCTCATTGGGACCGGAGGACGCAACAGCTCCGCCGAGCTGAAACGGGCGCGCGCCGTCCCAGGCGCTTTGGCGACTTCTCCGACCTGCCCCCTCCCCACCCCCCGCCCGCCTCCAGCCCGGCCCGGGAAAGGTGGGACGGCTCCGGCTCTAGTTGCGGAAGCGGCCCGTGCCGCGCGAGGAGGGTTCGAAGATGCCCCGCGCCTTTCTGGTGAAGAAGCCGTGCGTCTCCACGTGCAAGAGGAACTGGAGCGAGCTCCCCGACGAGGAGCGCGGCGAGATCTACGTGCCAGGTGAGGCGCCCATCCAGCGCGCCCGGAGCCCCGCGCCGCCGAGAGGACGGAGGGCCCCGTCGAGCGGCCGGCGTGCAGGGCGCCGTGGCGCGGAGCCCGGCGGCCCGCGCAACTGCGGCGCCCGATTTAATGTTTAAGCGGCCGCGGCCCCGTTAGCCCGCGCGGGAGTGGCCGACCCCGGGCGCCGGGGGGAGGGGAGGGCGGGCGGAAGGAGCGGCCATGTAGGGGCGGGGGTGGGCGCGGGGGCGGGCGCGGGGGCGGCCTGATGCGGGGGGACAGCGGTTCCCAGGCCCCGGTGGGGGCGCGCGGGCTCGCCCTCCCCTCCACCGGCCTGAGCCGCGGCGCAGGGGAGGCAACGGGGTGTGTCACCGCCCCGGCGACCCTCCACTCTCGCGTCGTAAATCCAGAAAGCCAGGGCTTTTATGGGGCGGGCGGAGGGCACTGGAGCGGTGCCACTTTGGGCGGGGGGCCGGGAGCGAGCTGGAGTTTGGGCTGAGGTTTGTGCAAAATGCAAGAGAAGACCCAGAGCGTAGGCCACCTTCATTGCTCTCTCTGTTTCCCCCACAACGCGGGTGACCAGAAGGTCCCCGTGGGGGTCTGGCAGGCAGGGAGCCCCCAGCCGTGGGGAATGCCAGACGGCAGGGAAGGCGCCGGCTGCACCCTACCAGCCTAGAAGACAAAGGTGGGATCGGGTCTCACCTCGGTTAGAAACGCGCCTCCTTCAGCCTCGAAGAGGACACCAGTGAGCTGAAAGGGGGTTTAAAGAAGCCGTCCCACAGCCAGGGACCAGCCCGGGGGAAGCTGAGGCAGCCAGTTTATTTTCGGAAGACGCCTTGACAGCGTCGGAGGCAACTTGGAATGAGTAACCCCAGTTGTTTCTTGCCTCGGCGGCATCTTCCTTGTTAACCTTCTGTCCGCCCCACCCCCAACAGAATCTTTGGTCGAGAGCGAGCAGGTTTCCTTCGGAACTCCCCCTCCCCAGGCCTGGGGGGTGGGGCGGGGGATGCGCTGAACACCCTGCCCAGCGCCTCCAAGGGGGAGAGGTTGTAATTAACCAACCGACTTTGACCCTTGATCTGCAGGCTCCCCGGCACCGCCCCAGGCCTTGTAGGAAAGTGGCGAAATGAGGGCGGTGAGGGGCCCTGTGAGGGCTTTTGCCTCAGTTTCTCTCCTGAATGCATGGTTGGAGACAGTGAGTGAAGCGGTGGCCTGACCGGTATCAGGATCCTGTGGCCTAGGGTGCTGGCAGGGTGTTTCACAGCTTAGCCTTGTCTCAAGCGCCTTGGCCCCTGTCTACAGCCTCCTTAAGACGAGGGAATGTTCCAAAAGCCCTGATGATCCCAGTGGGGAAACTGAGACAGCAAGGGACCTGAGCAGGCCTAGGATTCTCTGTGCGGTTTATCGTTTCTCCAAGTTCCCCAGGGAGTTGATGGTGTTTCAGGTCTGGAAGGGGGTGAGGGTGAGGGCCGCGCGCCCCCTTCCTTGCTCCTGCTCCTCCTCCTCCCTCACCTGTGTTTGACTTGCTGCTTAGCTGCTCCTTGGGATCTGATAAACCGAACTTGGACTGTGTTAAAGGTGAGCGGAGCCTTGCTTGAGACTCAGTGTGCTGTTATTTTTAGTTTTATTTCACATCCCAATCAGTAACAGATCATGTGTTGACTTTTACAAAGGACAAAGAAACTCCGCTCGTTCAAATTGTTGGCTGCCTTGTGTGCTAGTGGTTTTCCCCACCGCATTTCTGGTGGCCGCGGTGGGAGTGGCGGTGGGGGGCGGGGGGCACCTACACCCGGGTGCAGGCCCGGCAGGTGCAGAGGAGGGCGTCTGTATGGTCTGTGCCACCTGCTGCTGCTGTCTGGGTGAGCGGAGCCGCTCAGCCTGCAGGACCACCCTGGACGAAGGGTGGGGTCTAACCTGGAAGTGCAGGTGAGAAGCTGCCAGGCAAAGTCCTGTGGGGTCAAGCAAAGAGGAGAAGTCAAAGAACTGACTTTTGCCCCTCAAAACCACGTGGCCCACTAGCAAGTTTTCCCACAGTTTTTGGAAATGAGAAAGCGAATGTTCTCGGGCTATGCTCCAGCGCCTCAGATGGCTGGAGAGTGGGGAGTGTGTTTTGTGGTGGCCTGTCCCCTGACTGGGCCATTCCATCACCAGCGGACCGTGACCCCAGGAGCCGGCTGGGCACGTTTCCTTCACCCCACCCCACAGCCTCAGCACGCTGTGACCAGCTAGGCGTTGACCCCGTCCGGTCCCACCGGGAAAGGCACTGGGAGGGCTGGGGAACGAAGCGTCTCAGGTCTGACTTCCACCCCAGTCCTCTGAGGCCCTCAGGGCAGCAAAGAATGCCTGGAAAGAGGGCTTTACTGACTGAAGGCTCTGACTCCACGGCCCCAGGCTGACCAGCACTCCAGCCTCTTCTCTGAGGCACAGTTGTAGAGGTTTCCCACCCTCAGTCCCCTGGCCTCGGTCTCCCCGAAAGCTGAGGGAAAGGCCCAGAGGTGGGCACAGGGGCTAGAAGGCCGTGGGGCTGGGAGGCGGTGCCTCCCCTGCCGGGAGCACTGAAAGCGCTCATGGTCAGGAAGCCCCTCTGGGCCCCCTGCGCCCATCTCCGCGGCATTTCTCCTGTTGTGTCAGTACTGACTGTGGGAGGGGTGCTGGCTTCTTGAGGATGAACTCAGGCACCTGTACCCAGGGGCTAAATTCCATCTCCTGGACCAGAGAGGAAGCTCCAGGAACCGAGGAATGGGGATGAAGCCTGGGTACTCCTGGCCCTGCTGAGGGGAATAGGGAAAGGCCGGGAAGGCCCTGGAGGGGCAGACCCGGCCTGGAAGCTGAAGGACACGCTCCAGCCATGAGCGTCCCGGGGCCTCTGCCCTCTCCCCAGCTTGGGACCCAGCGTCTGTGGGCCCTTCTGCCAGTTCCCCAGCACGTGCCCTCCCCAGGGAGGCAGCCAGGCTGAGGTGGGGGGACTGGAGCTTCCCCAGCCTGGCTCTGACGAGGCCGTGCGGGTTGCTGGGCGGCTATCTTTCCTGGCCGGCCGAGATAGGAAGGCTGAGAAACTCAGCTTGGGGCCCCAGAGTACACGTGTGGGGGTGGGACGGAGTGGAGCTGGGGCTCGATTATGCTTCTGATGGTAATTATTCTAATTCCTGGGAGGGGTTGGCAGTGAGGTCTCCGTGGAGCAAGGCTGGGAAGGTAGGCAGCCAGCCCACGGGTGGGAAGGGTGGGCTGGGTGGGCTTCCTGGCTGTCCCGCGGGGTGCCGTCACCCCAGCTGCCCTCGCTGTTTGTCCCTCGCTTGGGTGACCTGAGGCAGAATCCTGCCAGACTGTTTGTCCCAGAAGGAGAGCAGGTGAGGACGAGTCCTCCGGGCCCCGGGAGGACGGGAGCAAAGCGCAGCCGTTGTTGCCGTCAGCTTTCCTCTTTAACTCTCTTCCCCCTCAGCCGGGGCTGCGCGGCCTCCGGCCTCCCACAGGGGTCCCCGTGCTGCCCCAGGGGGGTGGGCAGCACGCGAACACTGCCCAGTCCTGCGGCGTCCGCCCGGGAGTGAGGGCTGCGGTGCGCCGGGTGGCCTTCGCTGTGCACCCAATATGAAAAACGGCTGGCGGAGGGGGGACGATCCCACCAGAGGGGAGCCCTTGGTGTTCACAGCATGGAAACGACAGGCTGAGAGACGGGCCGGTTGCGTTTCCAGGGCTGCCCACCTCAGGCAGTTGGCTTCGCTGGCTTCCTCTGAGGCCCTGCTAGCTGACCTGGAGGTGGGAGGAGACGGGTGTGGGGGACCCTGCCCTTCCTGATGCAGGTGCAGGGCCGCCTGACAGGGGCCTGGGCATGCTGACACATGGGGCTCCCTCTGGCCTGCTTCAGGGCAGAGCTGAGCCCCGACCCCCTCCCAGGTCGGCGCAGCCGCAGCCTCTGGCAGGTGGAGGCCGGGTGTCCTCACACCTCTTTTGCCTGTTCTGCCCTGAGGCCTCGGATGGGGAGGACCCAGCACCATGTCTGGTATTTGGGCCAGGAGCTTGAGAGACTTGCTGAAGGCCGAGGCGGGGCGAGAAGGCCTTGGGCGGGGGCTGCTCTGAACCCCTCATCCAGGTGGAGGCAAGCTAGGCGGACAGAAGGGGAGCCCTGGAACCCCTGAGGCTGCGGGGAGAGGGCCCGGCTGGCACAGCCTGGCCACGCTCCTCCGCTGTGGGCCGGCGATGAGTAGCCACAGCGACCGCCACCTTGCCGGAAACGTCTAATTAGGGGACAGAGAGCAGTGCCGGCAGGGCCCGACCAGTTCTGCTTCCTGCCACTCGGTGACACCCAGCCACAGGAGCCACACGCGGGCGAGCGCTCCCTGTTCGTGTGGCGGCGGGACACGCTCCTGGGGGTGGCGGGAAGACAGGTTTGGCGGGGCGAGTGGGAGGAGGCGAGCACCCCACCCTGATGGCCTCACCTGCCCCTGGCTTGGGGTAGAAGCGGCGTGGAGACAGGCCAGGCGGCCCGCTCCCTGTCCCCAGCTCCCCGGCACCGTCACTTCGGGGGTTTCTGTGGAATGAGAGAGGCAGGCACTGGTCTCTCCCCAAACCGGCTGAGATCTCAGAACCCTGGCCTTGGACACCCCCACCCCCACCCCGAGTGGAGCAAGGGAGCCAAGGGTGACAGCTCACCGGGGTGCAAACCGGTTAACCCTTACCTGCTGTTACTCCTCCGTCTACTGCTCCATGTGCAGGCGGTGTGGCCCAGCTCCAGTGCCGGGGAGCCTCGCTCATGCTACCCGATACTGAAAGATAGAGAGGGTAGAGGTTCCTGTTTATTTCTACCTGGATTGAGAAATGGAAATTGTCATCCAGCTTTGAATTCCCAGGCAGGATCTCCAATAGCCGCATAAGCTGGCATCAGCTGAAGCTGCCAGCTCTCAGACACGCCCCCCCTCAGCAGACCCCGTCCCTGTGGGAAGACTGGGGGGACCCCCGAGAGCTCCGGCCTGACGTCCAGCCGCCCAGGGCTTGGAGAGAGGCCAGGCCAGGGCCAGGCGCTGGTGAATCAACTCCCAGAATGAGGTGGCTCATTAGAATCCCCGAACGGACAGACAGACGGCGCCAGTGCCAGCCGAACGGGTTTGGGTGTCGGGCAAGCACATTCTTCCCCCTGTCAGACCTTTGTTGTGCTTTGAGGGGGCGAGAGCTCGGGCCTCTCCCGAAACTGGGGTGCCTTCACAGCTGCCTCTCCTCCATCAGCATGTCCTCCGCCCCGTCGGGTCCCAGTCCTCCGCCTCCAGCCTTGAGCCCTGCGTCCTGCTGGGGCCGCCTCTCCCCGGATCCCCATCCACTGTCTCACCGGCCAGGGGGCAGCGGCGCGGGGGGGCCTGTTCATGGTTCTGAAACCCTAAGTCCACCTCCCGAGTCACCTTCCAGAAGCCCACTCATCCTTTCCTCCCTGTGCCCCTCTTGAGTTTTCCTTCTGAGGCTTGGAGAATGTTCCTAGCTTAGCCTCTTTGAGGGAAAAACACTAAACTGAAGCATTAGATTGTTTGCCTCTACTGTGGGGGTGTGAGACTTGTCTCTTTGTCACTCGAGAGACCTCCCCTCCTCTCTAGTCGGGATGGGGTCCAAGCCCCCGTGTGTGAGGTTTCTGCTCGCTGTTGCTGCTGTCACTGCCCAGGGAGGGAGCCCAAGCCCTCCAGGCGCCACCGTGAACTGAGCTCGGAGCGGCGAGGAGCGGTCCCTGCTGCGGGGGAGGCTTGCGTCACAGGCAGGCAGGCTGCCCAGGAGACTGTTAGGCCGCATCCACCTGCTGCTCCCTGACCTCCTCCCTGCTCTGCCCCGCCCACCTGTCTGCCTGCCAAGCTGGGCCCGAGGGAGTGGGGAGCCTGGAGCCCCAAACAGCCGAGGTGTCAGGGACACAGCTGCCCGAAGGAGGGAGGGGTTAGGACCACCCAGTTCCCCACAACCAGCGGCTAAATCTGCCTGGAGGAGAGGCCCTGAGTGCCCTGACCACCGGCACCCATCTGGGGCCGCGGTGAGTCCTGGGGTCCCGGGCCTCCTGTGTTGCCTTTTGTCCCTGCGGGAGCGTGGCTGAGGCCTGGAATCCAGGGGGACTGGCCCAGGTGGGGCCAGCAGACAGCTCAGGAGGAATAATTGGCAGCACAGGTTCGGCCCTCCCAGTTCCGCTAAGACACAAATTACTCAGCGGGCAGGCCTGTGGGCCGTGGCGCTTGGCTGGCGTCACCTGTAATTACCTTAATGGGGTGGGAGGGGGGTGTGGCAGGCAGTGGGCTGGGGGCAGCCCTGCTCTGCCACATGCCTGCCAGGGGCGGGACGGTGGCTCGCACTTCCAGCAAGCTCACTGCCAGGGAGCCCTCCTGAAACCCTACAGAGTCCCCTTTTCTCCTCCACGCCCTTCACCTGGCTGCTCTTCTCTTCGCAGTCAGCCTGGGCTTCTGTCCACCACAGCCCTACCAGGAACCAGAGCCGTCGGTGGCTGAACCCCCTTCTTGCCCCCTGGCTTTGGACATGAGCCTTCGGAACTCCAGCTATAGTGTGACCCCCGGGCCCTGTGTGGTTGCCCAGCTGCCCTCCGAAGACATGAGCCGCCTGGCAGGCCCGCAGAGCAGAGACCACGGCTTTCTGCGCACCAAGATGAAGGTACTGACCCTCACAGTGTCCCTGAGGCTCAGAGGCAAGTGGGTCCACATGGGTCCCACCCACACGGCGTGGCCCAAATGAGATTAGGCAGACTGGCCTTGGATCTGGGTCCAGATTTCTACAGATGTGAGCCTCCTTGGGGCACAGACAGGGTGGGAAAGAAGAGAAGTGAGCCTGAAGTGAGGATGACATGCGTTGGGGAGAAGCAGTGAGGTTCAAAAGACGTCCAGCCCTTTGGAGTCCTTTGTGGGTGTTGTTTAGTTTTGTTTCTCGCCTTGAGGGGAGGCACCCCTTACACAGAAGTCCTTGGAAAGGCGGGGAGGCGTGAGCCTGGCTCTGCACCCCAGCCTGGCCCGCGTCTCCGCCGCCACGAGAGTGAGGTCTGGGATCTGCTTGGTGGTCAGCTGTCCCCTGAGGTGTATGCCCAGCAGTCTCTGCCTCGTCCAAGTGTATGCTTCCAACCCAGGGCCTTGCATCTCGGGCAGGGCCTGGTGAACCCGGGTTCAGCAGCCGAGGCAGGAAGAAGCACAGGGTGGCGGAAACGGCCCTGCTTTCCAGGAACACGAGGCCTGCGTTCCTGAAAGTTCTGGAACCTGGAAGCACCTGCCAGTGGTGATTTAGTGGAAGGGCTCTCAATGGAGCTTCCTGTGAGCCAAGAGACCAGAGAAAACTGGCAGGGAAAGGCTGCTCCTCCTCTCTCATCATGGAGGCCGGGTGTTGTAACCCACCAGGAATCACCAGGAAATGTGCTGGGCGGCTGACAGGGGAGCTGACACAGCGCCCCGATCCCCAAGGGCCTCTTCTCCCAGCCCTTGAGCCCCAGCAGCGAGGGAGTGCGTGGAGGGAAAGCAGAGGGCACAGGACCAGAGACGAGGCAGAGAAGTGAGTCCTGACCCCAAACGGCTTGCTCAGTGAGCAACACGGCCTTTACCTGGTGCCAGGAGCTGCGCAGGGCCAGGCAGCACAGGTGACGGGGGAGCACCTCGGGCCCGGGGGGCTCGGGCGGCGCGGCCAGCGACAAGGCCCCCGCGGAGCACAAGTGACCTCTGAGCGTTCAGAGGTAGGGCCCGGAGACCACGCCTCCACTTCTGAACAGATCTGAGGTGTTCCACAGTTACCCTGGAAATGAAAAACCTTTATAAAGGGGGTCATCAGGGTGGCAAAGGGACCCAGACTAGACCATGTCAGGCTCAAGAAAGGCCGGGGCTGGGCCGTCCTGTGAGGCGAGGGAGCTCCGGGCCCCCAGCGGTGGCCTCAGCCCAGGAGGGCAGCGCGGAGACCATGACCGTGTTGTGGAACCTTCCCCGTCGTGAGGTGCAGACGGAGAACTGAGCAGCAGCTAGAGGAAGCCTGGGCTCAGTGAAGGGGGTACTTTCTGTCAGGGAGAGTTGCCCTCTTTCTGTTGGGAGCTGGCCGCCTGTCTCTAGAGATGGTAAAGAAGGGCCTCGCAGAGGGACTCAGGAGCCCGACAAGAGGCTGACCGAGGACCCAAAGGCGGCTTCTGGCTCCACCACCCCATCTCCGGGAGCCAGCGCCCAGAGGTGTGGCCCCTGGGTGGGCAGCGCCCTCCTTGGGGCCGGGGGCTGGCGCGGTGCATCTTCCCCATCTGCCACCTGCAGCCCCAGCTCCTGGGTGTCTGTCACACACCCCGCCCTTGCCCACAGGTGACACTGGGGGACGGTCCCAGCGGAGACCTCTTCACATGCCACATCTGCCAGAAGGCCTTCACCTACCAGCGCATGCTGAACCGCCACATGAAGTGCCACAATGATGTCAAGAGGCACCTCTGCACCTACTGCGGGAAGGGCTTCAATGACACCTTCGACCTCAAGAGACACGTGCGCACCCATACAGGTAAGAGGGGCCCGCCTGTGGCAAGGCCCAGCAGCCACGTGGCCATCATGGGGGTGGCCGGGGCGTGCGGGGCGGACGTCTTCATCCCCTCCGTCGGGCCGCTGGGGAGCTGGGGCTCCCGTACCCCAGAGCCGGGTCCCTGACGCCCCCGCTGCCCTCCCTGCAGGTGTGCGGCCCTACAAGTGCAGCCTGTGTGACAAGGCCTTCACACAGCGCTGCTCTCTGGAGTCCCACCTCAAGAAGATCCACGGTGTGCAGCAGAAGTACGCGTACAAGGAGCGGCGGGCCAAGCTGTACGTGTGCGAGGAGTGCGGCTGCACGTCCGAGAGCCAGGAGGGCCATGTCCTCCACCTCAAGGAGCACCACCCCGACAGCCCGCTGCTGCGCAAGACCTCCAAGAAGGTGGCCGTGGCCCTGCAGAACACCGTCACCTCCCTGCTGCAGGGCGCCCACCACGTCTGAGCAGCGCCCCGAGAGGGCGGGGCCCACCTCCTCGCTGCCCTGCCAGCCCGCCCTCTGTGGCTTCCTGCCGGAGCACCCGAGGGCGGGCCTGGAGCTGGCCACGCGTGCTCGCTCAGGCTGGCACTACTGACCTCTGTTTGTATTTGCACTGGTGTCTTTGGACAGAGGCCGCTCCGAGCCTGGGCAGACGTGTGGGGCGGGGTGAGGCCGGGGCTGCCTTCCCTGTGGAGCAGCTGAGTCCAGAGATAGGACTTCCTTCCCAGATGAGGTACGGGAAGGTGATTCTCTTGTCCCTCACCTCTGAAGCCTGGGGCAGGGGCAGCTGGTTCCCTGTGGATGGCAGTCGGGTGCCCTGACAAAGGGCACCGCGGCAAACACCAGCAGTGGAGGAGCTGGCGATGGCTCACCCGGCCGTGTTCCTCTTGCTCAGGGCTGCAGGGCTCTGCTCGTCGACAGGGAGATGCACACACATGTGCACAGCCGTGGATGTGCGTACAAGGGAGGCCTTGCCACATATCACCTCATTTTTAAGAAATCAACTACTGGTGCCAAGGAGGTTTTATTTCTTTTTTTAAAAGATGACAAGTGTACAGATATTAATATATTTTTGGTGCCGATGGCGACTGCTTCTAAGAGAGGATGGAGCTGGCTTTTCTCCTCCCCACGCAGTTCTATTTATCCTGGACATTTCACACCTCCCCTGTGCCTCGGCTGTGGGGTGGCCACCCTCACCCACCCTCATCTTTCCCAAGATATTTAATCGAAGACTTCCCTCCAGCCCTGGGGGAGGGTGCACTGCACCCGGTTCTTTCCTCCTGATGGGACAGCCCATCACAGCTTCTGCTCTTCCCTCCTTGGAATTCTGCCTCCTTCCTGCATCCTTTCAAGGCCAGCCTCCAGGTGACCGAGAGCCCCCTGGCCTCCTGATGACAGACCATGGGCGGAACAACTCACCATTCCAGAGGCCGAGGGTTTGTCCAGCTGGGGCCGCGGGGCTAAGACCGGAGGTGGGGTGATGAGTCTGTGATGCACCCAGGGGTCCCCCGCCGGCAGTCACAAGAAGAGTGCAGGGCCAGGCTGTGAGGTCTGCTCCTTTCCTGGCTGAGTCAAAAACCTTAGGACAGGAGCAAAAAAGTGGGACAGAGTCATAACCAGACACATCAGAAACTTCTGGAGGGAGGACGGCATGAGATGGTTAACAGGTTATCTTTGTAGCCTTACTGCTGTTTTTCAGACGGCGGGGTTGGCCCTTGAGCCCCTGAGGAGGGAGCCACCCCTCCACGGGCTGCTCCATTAGAAGGACTCGGCCAAGCTCCCCTGGCTTTAGCCGGGTTTCCTACCAAGAACAGGAAAGGGCTGTGGGTCAAAAGGGAGAGACAGGCAGGGGCTGGAGCTAGTCTACCAAAGAATGAGAAGGCAAACTCGAAAGAGAACACAACAGAGCTGGTGGAGCCGCCCCGCGAAGCCACAGCCCAGGTGGACCCAGCCTTGGCCTGTCCTGCAGCATCCACACAGCCCGGGATGCGGGAGGGGGCCTTCTCTGGCACAGCTCTGAATGTGTGTGGATGGTCTTGGAAGAGTCTGGCTTCATTTTACTTTAGGGCCTGCAAGAGCTGCTGTATTCTGGAAGTTGTAATGTATACAATAACATTCTCTGGAAGTTCTGTCTTGTTTACGTGTCTGTGTCCCTGTGTGCGTTGCCTGGTCGTTGTCCATCTCTGTGTTCATTGCCATCCAAGGAGGCTGCACAGCTCTGTGTTTGTTTTATTTTATAACTTTCCCTCAACTGGCAAAATAAAAAAACTGTCATTTTCTGTGTTTCAGTGTTTTTGTTTCATAGGCCTCTTTTTTCCACCTCCAGGGAAATGAATCAAAACAATGGATACATTCTATTCAAAGTCTCACCCTTTTACAGGTAGCAGTGGCTCTCAAGTCAAGACAAGAACCTGCTCAATTAAGTGGCCTGCCCATGGTCTAAGCTGTCAGTGCCTGCTGACCCCAGGACCCCGTTCTGTTCTCCATGGTGGCCACAGGTCCCATGCCCTGCCAGGACCACAGGAGGAAGAGCCGCATCCCCTAAATAGTAGGGCACGAAATTCTTGTCAGTTCTGGGTCAGACACTTAGCTGTGGGGATGGTCACACCCACATAGCCTCTGTTTCAGGCCAGGTACACTGTGTATTAGCACCCTTGACCTTCCAGCCACACTCTGGGATGGGTGCACAGTGCTGATGGGGAGGTTGGCAGATGGCATGGCACCTCTAGGCAACTCAAAGTAGAGGGAAACTTAGAGATCACCTGGCCGTGCCCATCACCTACCTAGGATCACTGAGGAGACCTGATCACTCTGGGACCCGGGTGCCTGAGTGCCCATTCAGTGTTCTTCCATCACAGCCTCGCCAGGCATGGAGGAGGTGGCTGCCAGGCCTGGGCCCTTGGCATACGTTCTGGGAGAAGAGTTGGCAGATCTGGTGCTGTGAGGAGAAAGGGAAACATTAATCTGACCTCCATAGCTCTCCCGTGTGAAGGCAGAGGGTGGAAGGGCCCCTAGCCCTCCCTGTGTCTCTTTAAATAGCCAGGCACAGAGGATTTCTCTTTATCTCTAGAAGCCTCCCAATGTGAAAGGCAAACCAAATCCCATTTTTCCATGTCCCAGGATGAGCAGAACCCATTGTCAAAGCCCAGATGATTAACTGCTATGTAAACTTTAGCAGGAGCAAGGTTTCCCAGAAGCCAGGGATGGGGGTGGGGGGAGGGCTCCCTCTGAAGCTCTGCTCTCTCCCCCTCCTCAGCAGGGCTCGGGGGTGGGACACCGCCTGACAAGATCAGGCCAGACGGTCACATTTTGAGGGCCCCGTAATGATCTCCAGCTTCTGCAGCATGGCTGCCGCGTGTGGGCCTCCGCGGACCAGGAAAGAGGCTGCAGCCAGGCAGAGGGGAGAGATTAATGCAAGTCAATGTATAACTATGGGTAAGTGGTGCAGGCCTACGACCAATGCAGTGGGATCCGAAAGGAGGCTTTTGGATTTGAAAGAGTAAAGATTTCTTGAAAGAGGTGGGGTTCAGCTGGGCCAGAAAAAATGGGAGGGTCTGAAGAGAACAAAAGAGAAGGGAAGGCGTTTCTGGGAGGGCGAGGGTAGGATCAGACCCAGAACAGAGGAGGTGTGCACCCTGGGCTGGGCGGAGGTCCTCACCGGTCCCATTGCCAGTCCCGACGCTGTCATTCATTCAGCCACACCACCGGTGTTTTTTGAGCCCTGCCCAGGTGCCAATAAGAACTGGTAACCAAACAAGAGAGACAGACTCTCCTGAGAGACAGAAGAGCTGGCTGGGACCTAGCAAGAGGTCCGGCCTAAAGGAGGATGGAGGGAGGGTCCTATTTATACAGCTAAAAGCAAAGCAACCAAGCGCAGGGCAGAGGGAAATTTACAACACCAGGAAGTGCGGTGAAGATTTAGACTGCATATATTTGTATGCATTTTCTAATGTTTTTACAATGAACATATATTATCTTTTATAATCAGAAGAAAATTAAGTTATAAAACAATTTGGGGCTTTTAGTCAACTTGAAGTTCAACACATCACTGGGAACAGAGCTGCCCAAAGGAGTGCCAGTGTGACCCGGAGTCCGTGAGGGCGCGGAAAGAGCAGAGATAGGGCTTCCCTGGTGGCTCAGATGGTAAGGAATCCGCCTGCAATGGGGGAAAACTGGGCTCAGTCCCTGGGTCGGGAAGATCCCCTGGAGGAGGGCATGGCAACCCACTCCAGTATTCTTGCCTGGAGAATCCCCATGGACAGAGGAGCCTGGTGGGCTAGAGTCCATGGGGTTCCGGAGAGTCGGACATGACTGAGCGACTATGCACACAGGACTTGAGGCCCAGCCCTGTCTCTGGCTGTCTGTGGGGCCTTGGGCAAGCAACCGAACCCCTCGGTTTTTCATCTATAAAATGAGGCGGGTCCCCAAGTTGAAAGGTCCTTTCTGTCCTAACGACTTCATGTCTCTAGGCCCCCATCTCAATAAAACTCCTGAAGAAACTCACTGACAAACTGCAGCAGAAAGGAGGAGGTGCAGAAGGCTGAGAAGTTTGTCCTTTGAGTGGGGAAGACCAACCACATGGCTGCCGACTTGAAGCAGGGGGAAAGGCTCATTCCGGTGGATCCAGCAGGCAGAACCTGGGCAGAGAGGTGAGCATCAGAGGGGTGCAGGCCCCCACTGTGGGGAGCCCTGGGGCAGCGGCTCAGGAGGGAGGCACCCCCAGGCAGTGTGCCTGGGGTCTGCTGGCTGGGCCTGGGAAGCCATTTGTCAGGAATTTCTTCAGGGACTCAAGTGGGGGAGCTGAAGGCTGGACAAAATAATCTTCAACACTTCCACTCCAAGAATTCTAAGAGGTTGAGTGCTGGTCATGACTTCCAAGCCCAAAAAATGAGAGTGAAGAGAATGGAATGGAAAAGGAAACTCTGGATGGGGAAGACCAGTTGGGAGCCTGGGCTTGGGTGGTCTTGCCAAGAGAAGGGATACCCTGGCTGGTCCTTGGGGCCACCCAGGAGGAGTCCACTCCCTCAGGCAGGGGCAGTCACCCGACCCAGCATGTCCCACCCTCTTCATGTCCGAGACCAGCCTGCCCTCTGTATCCTCATCCCAGCCCCCTTCCCCAGTTCCTAGAGTCTGCTTTGAATTTTTTCTTTTTGACCGTGTTGCATGGATGCAGGATCTTTTCCCTGACCCCCTGCACTGGGAGCATGGAGTGTTAACCACTGGACTTCCAGGGAAGTCCGCTGGAGTCTGTCTGATACTCCATCCGTCAACCCACCAGTCATCTCCCTCTGGGACGGCCCTCGTTGTCTGGCAGCCCCCTGCCCCCAGGCGGCTGACTCACGGCCTCGTGGGGGCTCAGGGCCCACGCCAGCGCTGGAGGGAACTCGAGGCAGGTGTGGGGGTCCTGGCCCTGGCCCGAGGCAGGCACTGACAATGACATCTTCCAGTTTCTATTTCCTGAGAAC